GGATGTAATACTTCTATACTGTGGCTCTGTATCCGACACCATCTGTCGTAAACGACGGACCCGGATTGCCCCTACGACTGCCGGCCGGGCGCAGAGACGTCGAGCGGCCACGTCAGTAGCATCACCAGCGGCAATGACCATCGTTGCTCTTGAACGAGGGCGCGCCGAAACACACTGGGCGTGCGTCCGTACCTCAGCGGCACACTATCACCACGGCAACTTTCAGTCTTCAACTCATCGCCTCCAAAAAGAGAAGGCTGGGATTAGGCCGTGGCTGGGTTGATTGCAGGGATGCGTTTAGGGGGGCTGGTCGATGAGCCATACTGGCAATTGTCCTCTTCCTGCCTCCGTCGCCGCTATTTCCACTTCAACATAATGACGAGCCTTGCTTGCGCCTACTTCGTGATGTTGGGCGTACAGCTTCTGACTGTTGTTGCTCATACGGTGGGACACTCGCAATTGTAGACAGCTCTGGCTGTCCGTACGTTGGCAGCCGGATATCTGTAGCTGCCAACCAGCCGCGAGCGCGTCTGCGCAACCATTTGCATTGCTCAAGAAGGGGCCGCAGAGACGCCATGGGAGTGGTTGTAGGATAGCGGCACACCCCTTGGAGCGGCCGCTTGTGGCCATCACCGATCACTTCCAAAAAGAGGAGTGGGTGGTTGCAGACGATTGTCCACTTCTTCTTGCCATTGGCCCTCTACTTCTAGGAACACCCCCGTCGGCCACTTCTGGCTGACGAAGTTGTGGACGGGGACAGCAAAACTCTGGCCACGCCCTCCAGGACTGGCGTTACGTCAGTCCCTCAGAACGCGGCCAGAACTGGACGAAGCAGTTGGACAGGGAGTGCGAATAACTCGACAAGTAACCCTACTAGAAACTCGGTCATTTCTGTTCAGACGCCCCCAAGTCTAGTAGGAGGGCAGTTTCTGGAAAAACCCCCAAATGGACGCGGAGCAAGGGCCGCAGATGGGCGCGGTTGTGGCGGGTTGTACAGTACGGGCCGAAGAGGCAGTGCGTACGCTGGACAGAGCCTCTGTGGTGTCTTGTTGCCGTATGGCAGTGGTGGTTTGCCCAGGATGATCCCCCATCCAATACACCGAGAGGCGACTTGCAAATTGGCAATCGGGGGACCTGGGCGCGCAGGGCCTCATGAAAAGCAGACAAACCAGTCATGCGGTCTCTGCATGGGGTGTGATACAAACCCCCCAATCTCTCGCACCGGACAACAGGGCTTGAGCTGCAAAGACCACAATGGACACCTGCGCTCCTAGCTGCGACTGCATGGGGTTGACGATCCGACTGACAGTAATCCTCTGTATGCAAGGTGCCTCCTATTGTCAGTTGCCTTTTGGACTGCGTATCAGCATCCATTCCACCCCATCGCGCATCCGGAACCGGACTATCCGGCGGCATCGGCAAACGGACTATTGGCTACGCCAGTTGCCCGCGGTCAGGACACTACAGCCTCGGTGAGCGGGTTCACAAAACCGATGTGCAGCAAAGATTGAATGTCCAGGCCGCGCAATGCAAACTCTCAGCCGCTCATAAGGGATATCTTTATCCTCGTCGCAGATAGAAGCGCTGCTTTGACGGGAACACGCTGCGTTGCCTGGGAGAAGCGGGCCCAAGCCACATCATGCATCCCTGCCCGTGGCTCCTGAGCTTTTGCGGCCGGCAAGTGCCTGCACATACACTGCCTGCGTGACCTGGCCGGGGCTTCGCATGGAGGCATGTCCTAGACCTGCCCGTATTCGCAAAAGCGAGGTCGGTTCCGTCATTGAGGCGCGTTGCCGAAAGGACGCAGGCCCTGGGAGAGCTTGCTTACAGGGATGGTGCAGCTAAAAGCTTCAGTGAGTGATGAAGGCGCCAGGCGGTGTTCGAATGGTTCGCAGCTTAATTCTTGCGACGTGGCCGAGGCTTGGCTCACTCCCTGGGCTTGGCATAAATTGCCACCTCGCGCCAGCTCTCGAGTGCGAGCTGTAATCATGCCGAACACCATGTCAGCTACAGATCTTCCGGTCGATATGCCGACATGGCCTCTACGTATCGACCGAGATGACCTAGAATATTTAAACAAGGGCATAAAGGCTATGTGTTACGTTACATGAATTCGTCTCCCACTCATCTCGCTCAACATATTGACAAAGAATCTCATCAAGTCAACCACCTCAAACACCACTAAGACCTCCAGCAGTGGTGCCTATGGGCACCAGCACGAGGGCCTCCACATGGCCCGGAAATCGAAATTGGATCCAAATCACATCGATCCAACATAACCGCTCAGTAAGATTGACAAACACAGTCACTAGCCCGGTGAGATGGGTGGCGCTTTTAGGCCATTGTGTCGCTCTTTGGTCTTGGCTCAGCCAGCCTGGTTCAGCCAGGCAGCCGGGCCAGGTTCTATGGATCCACAAGCCATCACCGCGAACTCAGTGGCACATTATGCCGTAAATTGTGGTACAAGTATATTGAAGTAGTTGAAAATTTATTCACTAGGCAAGTGGCCTCCCTTTCGGACTGTCGCGTTGCACGGTTGCCGCTCTGTTGGCTTATGCCTTTGGGCTCGACTTCAACTGGTGACCATCAATTCACATGTACGGGGAAGCAGATATTGTAAACATCTGGTGGCTTAACATAGCTGCGACACGTGAGCAAACCGAACATGATTCTTATAGTCAGGAGAGCGATCTAGGTCTATATTGCATATTGGCCTCGATTGACTGTTGGCTGGACTGGATTTGTAGCCGATGAAGCCCTTGTACGTCTCCATCTCAATGTATCCAGCACAACAGGTACAAGATCAATTGGCCATGTTTTCAGCGGTCATGGACTCCAAAGCAACGTAAGATAATTTTCTCTATCACTCCATTGAGCGAAACTGTTTCAACGCCCTCGTGCTGGGGTCTGTGGGGCGTCCCTCCTATCAAACAATATTGAGATGTTGATGCAGTACGAACGATAACGTGTTGGCCGTGCTCGCATGTATGCGGTGATTTATAATAAAAGCATGGAGAAAATTAGTGGCTACTGTGTAATGTATTTTGCGTATGGGGAAAGGCAAATAAAGGTACTTGTTCGGTAGACACGGTTGCGAGACCTGCAGCCGTATATAAACGTGGGGCGTAGGTTGCCGGCTCGCGACCGTCGACGTCATGTCCCGCCAAGCGAACATACTCTCCATCTCTGTCACCGTAGTACACAACTCGGCCTGGGTGACCGGCCCGACCGCGGAAGCAAACCGGCCGGGCATCCAGGCAATTATTGATGAAGCGATCGATTGGGAGAAGCGCAGCGGCGCAACGTTCGAGGCCGACAAGACTACGGTGATCCCACTTTACACGCGCTGCCGCGCGGAAAAGTGACGTACCGTTCTGGATCAATGGCGCGGAAGTCAAGCCCAAGGCCAGCGCAAAGATCTTGGGGTTGATAATGGACGACGGTCTGCGGTACCAAAAGCACATGGCCAGAGCCGCCGAGAAGGGGCTCACCGCCGCCATGAGCCTGAAGAGGCTAAAAGATGCTCTCACCAAAGGTAGCAAGACAGCTGTTCATGGCGACGGTCGCCCAGGCGATGGATTGTGCTTCTAATGTCTGGATGCACGCTCGTAAAGCGAAGGAAACGGACTGGCTGAACAAAGCGCAGCGGATCGGTGCGCAGGCGGTCATCGGAGCGTTCCGGACCGCGGAGTGAGGGTCGAAATGAATCCTGTGGAACCGGTGATCTCCGGTACAGAGCATCACGGTTCGGTGCCGAGGACGAACACGGACGAGGCAAGGCTGGCGATGCGGTCGAGGGTGCGGGATGGCACCAGGAGGAAGGGAGGCTTGAAAACAGACAGGCGGAGTTCATCCTATGAACATCAGGGCTCCCGGCCCTTGGCGTCTCTCCCTCTTGCTCATCTTTGCTATCCTCATGAAGACCGCATTGCCAGAGGGTTTGTGAATTCAGGAAAGAGACATGACAAGAAAGCCACAGCTTCCGGGCCCCATCGTAGGATGGCTTCATCGTGCTTGTCGAACCAGCCCGCAAGGGTGCGGGCGTCGACCTCTTGGACTTTTATGAGACTGGATGACTTTGTGTGGTTTCTTTCAAGCTCACTCAGGAGATCGCATAAATGGTGGAATGGGAACGGCATATCTTCTGCAGGTACTGTATGTAGCCAGAATGCAGCAAATTGAAGAACGATGGCAAATGGCGAAGGGGCGAACGAGTGAGTCTAGGCAGAATAATAGATCGGTGCCATTCCAAGGTTATAAATATATGGACACAGCGTCTTCTCTGCCGCATTGCTCTGGCCTCCGAAGCGACTAGTAGCAAGCTAAGTAGCTGGCCCTTCTGACAACGACGTCATAATTCTCTTCGCCACGGCTGCCTGCCCCCAATCTACCTTGTCAAAATACCTGATGTGACAGGATGCGACATCCCCGTGGCTTGAACGACCAGTGCGCCGGGCTGAACTGACCGCTCGTATATATCCAGCGGCATAGAGATTTCCGGTACACCTGCGCATGGAGCCGGCACGTTGGGAGCAATCATCGACGAGGTCATGAAGCGCGCTCCCTGCATTGCTAGTCGCGCGAAAATGTGTCGAGCCGGTACATACGCTCAACCGTTGGACATGAAGTGCCTGGAACTAGTCATGCAAAGGTGGTGTCGCACTGCACGTGTGCATAACTGACTGACGACCGGGCAGAAGGTCCCCAGTGAATTTGGGCAACAAAAGACTCTTGATTCTTCTATCTAATGATTGACTTTAGTCGGTGATTTATACCCGTCCTGATTGAGGCAGGCACCTGAGACACGGCAGGCAGAAGCTGGGTTGCCTGAAGCTATCGCCACCGGTGGTAGGCAGCAGTGCTGTTAACGGTCTACGTGAATGAGCGGCTTGATATTGACAGGTGGCTCCATCCCTCTGCATATTTTGGACACGGCTAATCTTCTTTGATGACGCTTCATGGTTGCCTTGCTGACTTCCATAGCTTCCCTCGCGGCGGCACTAGCTGCTTTCGCGATGGTCGACAGTGAGAGTTTCGGACCGCAGAATCTTCGGAGCAGCAGTGCGCCATTCGCGATACGTGCTGGTCATAATTCTGAAATCATCAGCCGCCCCAAAGGCATGCCTACCGTTCTGTTGTTTTCTTCTCTTTGTGGCTGCTTCTCCGGACGCTGGGTGCCATGCCATGCCGTACTAAGATCCCTCCCTGTATCTTGTACCAACCACCGTTGCACCATGGCAGTGTGCACCATCCCCTCCGCAGGTTCCCACTCGATTGTGGCTAACACGGTAGGCCGAACAGCTTCACAGAAGCCGTGCCAGCCTATCCATCCTTGGACGAGGTATATGCGCATCAGCGCAACCCACAGCTCCCCATCAATAATAATGGCGAGGGAGCAGGTCAGAAATTTTCCGTGACCTCGAATGCCATGGCTAGCCAGCGAGCACAAACCAACTTCGTCCACCATTCCTCGTTGCTGTTCATCCATAGTTCGGTTTCGCCAGCAAATGGTAACCCTCAACAGGGAATCAATCGTGACAGAAACTGCTGAACTCGTCATCAGCCGGCCTGCGGCGAGTGTATCATCCGCGTATTAATGTGGGGCAATGTAATGTACTTTATTTACGCCCGGAGGGATTATCCCTAAAGGGCCATAACGAGAGGCTAATTGCTCATTCTGCCATAAAAGCCGTACACCTAAAGCCCAACAATTGTTTCCTTCCTTGGCCCCTGCAGCCTCATTCCGCGATCTGACTGTCCTGCCCTGAGGTCATTCCCCCCGAGTGCCCAGCGTCCCATCGTCGGCGGCTGGAGCTTGGTCGGTCAGTGCGAGGCTGCGCGACTAGGATGTTACGCGCTTGGTTCCTGTC